TATACACAAGTATGCATATATGTTAAGTGAACCAAGTACATGGTACTTGAAGTGAACCAAATACGACACACTAATGACATTGAATCCAACCGAGGACCTAGCAACGATAACACTAAATACCTTTGTGGTACCTGCGACAAGACCGTTACCTGGGAACACAAGGGAATTGTCTGTGAAACATGTGACCAGTGGTTTCATGTAGACTGTCAAAACATTAACAGCACGTCATACGAGGAATTGAACGATAGTATGGTTAGCTGGCACTGTATTATCTGTGATAACCCAAATTATTCCACTCTCTTATTTGATCTGCACAGCATCTGTACTCCAAATCCTTTTGAAAGTTTATTTCTAGATTCTGTAAAGAGTTTTGATAGCCAGATGAGCCCAAAGACCTCTTCTAATGTATTTAATCCAGGGCACTCATCTACTCCAGTCAGGAAAACAACATTTTCTAAAAACTCTTCTCGTAAGCCACTACGTATTTTGAATGTAAACTTCCAATCAATTCGAGCAAAGCAACATCTTATTCATCATGTTATTGACAGTGTCAAGCCCGATATCATCCTTGGAACTGAAACATGGTTAAAACCAAATATTAAAGACACTGAAGTTTTTCCAGATGGGTTTAACATATACAGAAAGGACAGAGCCGGTGAAAAAACAGGTGGTGGGGTGCTTATAGCAATAAAGAAAGATTTTGTTTCTTCTGAAGTACATGACCTTTTACCACCAGATGAGTGTGAAATTGTATGGGCTAACATAGAAATGATACGTTGTAAAACCCTGTATTTATGTTCTTTTTATAATCCTAAAACAGCAGACAGTTCAAATTTGATGAGCTTCGACACATCTATTAGGGAACATGTACTATTCGCAATGCAAGTCTACTCATTGGAGATTTCAATCTCCCAGGTTGGGATTGGGAGCATAGAATTCTAAAACCCAATGCTCTCCACCCAAATATTCATTATAATTTTGGCACCTCCCTTGACGATGCAGGACTAACCCAATTGGTAGAAAAGCCCACACGAAACAATAACATCTTGGACCTTATCATCACCAACTATCCGAGCTTAGTCCCTCGTACTGAAGTTATGCCTGGCATTTCAGATCATGACATTGTGTTTGTCAAATTCCTAGCTTCTACTTTAAAGCAAAAACAAAAACCAAGGCAAATTCCATTATACAAAAATGCTAACTGGGAATCTATGAAGAATGAGTTAGATTTTTTTATCGTAAGCTTCAATTTTCTGATAAGGAGCATATTTCTGATACTAATACCATCTGGTGTGACTTCAAGTCATTTTTGAACTCTTTGGTGAATATGCATATACCACACAAAATATCAAAACCAAAAGAAAGCCAACCCTGTATATCTCATGAAATTAAACATTTGATTAGTAAACGCAACAGATTATTTAAAAAATCAAGAAAGTCTGGTGATAAGGATCTAACAAAGAAATATAAAGAACTGAAACATTCCATCCAAAAAAAGATTTGGCAGGAGTATTGGAAATATATAGAAACAATAGTTACTCTAGATGAGACTTCGGTCTATGGAACTTTCACATGCATGACAAAATTTTGGACCTACATAAAACACAAGAAAATAGACTTTACAGGTATCCCCCATCTAAAAGAGGATGGCAAGCTCATTTCGGATTCCTATTTAAAAGCAAACCTACTCAATAAGCAATTCGAATCAGTTTTTCTCTACATCCAAAAACATATCTCCTGACATCTTTTCTAAAGAAAATTATATGAATCCAGATCAGATATATCCAACCATGCATGAACACCCCCCTTATTACCCCAAATGGAATTCAGAAACTACTTAAAAATCTTGATAGTTCCAAAGCACCAGGCCCAGACGACTTGAGTTTTGAAGGAATTGGCTAGTGAAATTGCCCCTATCTTGAGTATAATATTCAACTCGTCCCTACAATCTGGCACTGTTCCGCAAGATTGGAAAACCGCCGATATTGCTCCAATATTCAAAAAGGCCAAAAATATGATCCTGTAAATTACAGACCTATTTCACTCACTTGCATTTGTTATAAGTTAATGGAACATGTCATAGTGTCACACATCATGACACATTCAGATCATCACAATATTTTGTATCCTCGCCAACATGGTTTTCGAAAATTCAGATCCTGCGAAACACAACTTTTAGAACTTGTTGATGATATTACCAAAACTCTTGACAACTCAAAACAATCGGATATGTTAGTTATGGATTTCTCCAAAGCATTTGATAAGGTCAGCCACTCTCTTCTTACCAACAAACTCAGTCATTTTGGCATGATAAAACTACTTCCTGGATCTCAAACTTCTTGAATAATAGAACCCAATCAGTACTTGTTGAAGGCGTCAAATCCGAGTATGCGCCAGTTTTATCAGGCGTCCCCCAGGGATCTGTACTGCGGCCTGGTCTGTTCCTATTTTATATCAATGAAATGCCAATTGGCTTGAACTCCACGGTCAGACTGTTTACGGATGAAACCATCGTTTGTCTGACAATTACGTCGGAGAACGATGCAAGGACCCTTTGTACAGTCTGCCCTGGACAAACTAGCCCTTTGGGAGAAAAAATGGTTTATGGCTTTCCACCCAGATAAGTGTTATGCTCTCACAATTTCTAAGAAAAAATCACCTATTATTTTTTAATTATTCTCTTCCTGGTCAAATATTAAAACATGTTAATTCTGTGAAATACCTAGGTGTAACCCTCAGATCAGATTTGAAATGGGAGTCTCATGTAGATCAGATATGCAACAAGGCAAATTCTCCTCTAGGATTTCTCAGAAGAAACCTAAAAATTAGCTCAACAACATTTAAAGAACAGGCTTACAAATCCTTGTTAAGACCCTCTGTAGAATATGCTTGCTCTCTTTGGGATCCGTACAAAAAAAAAAAAAAAAATCAACAAAATAGAAATGGTCCAGAGGAGAGGAGCCTGTTATGTGTCAAATCGCTTTCGGAACACCTCTAGTGTAACAGATATGATTGGTACTCTTGGCTGGCACAGCCTGTCAGATCGTAGGAAAGATACACGCCTAAAGATGTTCTATAAAATACATCAGGGCACGGTGGCCATATCCACGACTGACAGGATGCACGGAGCCAGAACAATTCCTAGAAATTCCCATCAGGTCCAATACCAACAGCAATACTCGAAAACACTAATTAGACAACATTCATATTCTACAATACAAGTATTCTCCGAGTACATTCATATTCTACAACACAAGTGTTCTCTGAGTGCCAATTGAATATGTTCCTCAGTAGGTCGGCGTTTTCTGAGTTCCATCAGGGTCAAATATGTCAAACACTTCAAACGGCTTCTTCTAAATAATGGAAAGGCATAGAAGCATAATGTTTGGTGGTGGTTTCTTTGGATAGAGCCCAACAAAGACTGTGAATGACCTCAACCTTCTTTCAAGGTCAAATACATCAAACACTTCAAATGACTTGTTCTGAAGAACCAAAAGATATAGAATCTTAATATTTAGCTGGTAGTTTCCTGGGATGGAGCCTGACAAAGTTTGCAAATAAAAATTACCTTGACCTGTTTTAAAGGTCACAGACGTCAACAACACTTTAATCGACTTCTTCTAAAGAATCGAAAGCCATAGATTCCTAAGATTTGACTGGTACAGTACACTTCAGGTGAGTTTATGAAATATTCCAGAGATCGTTTTTCACTACTTTCTTTATTTAAAAAGTAGTCACTCACTTCTCTGGAAATGGTACACATATTATTGAATTCTCGTTATTTTTAGAGGAACAGAAAAGTTCACATACATCTGATTAACAGAAAGTGAAAATAGAACGTAGAACAACTTGGAACTCTTCTTCGTTTGAGAAATAACACAGTTTTCTTGGACTCTCTGCCTTAAGTTCATTTTTGTTTTTACTCCATTCTTTTATCGTTGATAGTTAGCAACTTAGAGTCGGGAAATCTTAGTGAAGCGGCAAATTTCAATTTTGTGATATAAGTTTGATCTTGTTTACCCGTACTATTTTGTTTCCTGAAAAATACGTTAGAAATTATCTTATTTATTATAATACATATCTATTGTAATAGTCGAAAATAAATGTACATTTATACATTTGTACATGTAGCTTCTTGGGATAGAGCCAACAAAGTTTGAGAGGAAATGACCTTGACCTATTTACAGAGTCACAGGCACAAATAAGTCAAACACTTCAATCAACTTATTCTGAAGAACCGAAAGGCATGGAATCTTATAATAATAATTTGGTTGCTACAGTTCCACAGCTGAGGCCCAACAAAGTTTGCAAATGAAAATTACCTTTATCTACTTTCAAAGTCATAGCGATCAAATGTGTTAACATATTTAAATGACTCTTCTCAATAACTAAGAGCAACAGAGTGATGATATGTTGGATTAAGGACTTCCAAGTTTTTTCGCCTGAATGAACTTGTTAAGACTTTCAAGGTCACAATACTGTATAGCCATAAAATTCCTACTACCTATCTTTCCCAATTAAATACCTTTCTAAATCTTACAGGTAAAATCACCTGAATAATGGTTTAAAATTACAATTACCTCATGGACACAAGATTTTATTGTAATTTAAATTTTACAGTATATCTGTCATGTTGACAAAAATATATTATGATACTTTTATATTTAACAATTACAAACATTGCTATAAACTTGTTAATTTGTAAGACTTTTACACTAAATAGTGGACAATAAATGTACTAGTCCATAAATTCAATATATTTGTTGAGTACTTTTTGCAGAGTAAAAGTACAAAGAACGTAACACATTTAAATATCACATTTTAATTAATGATATAAGATTTCTTCAAAGACAGTCAACTTTTACTTTTCAGAAGTTATTTCATGCATCATACAATGTGTGTTACCTGTACATTTACATATATCCACCATCATAGTTACAATGTATGTTACCTGTACATTCACATATAGCCACCATCATAGTTACAATGTATGTTACCTATACATTTACATATAGCCACCATCATAGTTACAATGTATGTTACCTGTACATTTACATATAGCCACCATCATAGTTACAATGTGTGTTTCCTGTACATTCACATATAGCCACCATCATAGTTACAATGTATGTTACCTGTACATTCACATGTAGCCACCATCATAGTTACAATGTGTGTTACCTGTACATTCACATATAGCCACCATCATAGTTACAATGTGTGTTTCCCGTACATTCACATATAGCCACCATCATAGTTACAATCTATGTTACCTGTACATTTACATATAGCCACCATCATAGTTACAATGTATATTACCTGTACATTCACATATAGCAACCATCATAGTTACAATGTATATTACCTGTACATTCACATATAACCACCATCATAGTTACAATGTGTTTTACCTGTACATTTACATTTAGTAGCCATCATAGTTACAATGTATATTACCTGTGCATTTACATATAACCACCATCATAGTTACAATGTATATTACCTGTGCATTTACATATAGCCACCATCATAGTTACAATGTATATTACCTGTACATTTACATATGTTACCATCATAATTACATTGTATTGAAAAGTTCTGTAATAGAGGTTATATTTTATGGATATCATTTTTATTTCAAACTTAAATATTATTGCTCAGATTTATCCATCCATACACATTAACAGTATTTAAGTTTGTTACATCTTTGGATAGTTCTCCAGTTCGTATGGTCCAGTTTCATCCCAGTACTCATCAATTGGTTTGGAGAAGGCATCATTTTTCCTGAACGGTGAGTCTCGAGTCTTGATCTGTGAGACACCCTGGAAATTGTACAGAGAGTAGGAATGACTAACTTAATCTTTATCATACATGTTTTAATCAAGTTCACCACAGGATTCTCTACAGCAAGCTTTACCACAATAGAAAAGAACTCAGGATCAATATATTTCAAAAGTCAATATTACATAGACCTATTGTCTGTGGTGTATAAATTAAAATTAAATCACAAATTAATATATCATAGACCTACTGTACATGTCTATGGTGTGTAAATGCTATCAAAAATCAATATTACACAGACCTATTGTCTATGGTGTTTAAATTCTATCAAAATATAGTATTACATACACCGATTGTCTACGGTGTGTAAATTCTATCAAAAATCAATATTTTGACAAAAAACGAGATTTTTTTTCGCAAAGTACCTAGCAACGATTTTTTGTGTAGGCACTAATACAACTGACTTATTGTTAAGACAGTATACCAACAAACTTATTGTTCAGACTCTGTACCTACTGACTTTTATACCCCCCGTAACGAAGTTAGGAGGATATACTGGAATCAGCTTGTCTGTGCGTCTGTCTTGTCGTCCGTCCGTCCATTAAAAAAGTTTGTCCAAACAACTCCTTTTAAAGAAATGGACCAATTTTAATGAAACTTTCCAGATATTATAACCACCACCTGAAGTTGTGCATCCAGGTATAATTTTTTCATTCTGACCTATTTTTTACGGAGTTATTGCTCTTTGTTAAAAAATGCTTGCCCAGACAACTTATCCAAAACTACTGGGCCAATTTCAATGAAAGTTTTAAGATATGATCACTACCACCTGCTGTTGTGAATCCAGGTAATATTTGTTTCAACTGACCCTTTTTTTTACAGAGTAATTGCCCTTTGTTGAAAAATACTTTTCCAGACAGCTCCTCCAAGACTATGGGGCCAATTACTATGGCTTGAAGTTGTGCATCAAGGTATTTTTACCAACCCTTTTTAGCTCACCTGCCCCGAAGGGCAAAGTGAGCTTATGCCATGGTTCGGCTTCCGGCATCAATATTTTATTTTAAACAACTTCTTCAAACCAAATTGCCTAGGATGATGATATTTAGCCAAAAATAAACTGGGATGAAGGCTACGTATTTTGTTCAAATGAATGACCTTGACTTATATTCAAGGTCACAGGGGTCAAATATGTTTAAAACCTTTTAACAACTTCTTCTGAATAACCAAGAGGCCTAGGGTGATGCTATTTGGCCAGTAGTGTGCTGGGATGAAGGGCTACCAATTTTGTTCAAATGAATGACCTTGACTTATATTCAAGGTCACAGGGGTCAGATATGATTAAAACCTTTATACAACTTCTTCTGAATAACCAAAAGGCCTAGGATAATGATATTTGGTCAGTAACATGCTGGGATAAAGGACTACCAAGTCTATTCAAATGAATGACCTTTACTCATATTCAAGGTCACAGGGGTCAAATATGTTTAAACCATTAAATAACTTCTCCTGAATAACCAAGAGGCCCAGGATAATAATATTTGGTCAGTTATATGCCGGGATTAAGGGCTACCAAGTTTGTTCAAATGAATAGCCTTGACAAATATTCAAGGTCACATGGGTCAAACATGTTTAAAACCTTTAAACTTCTTCTGAATAACAAAGAGGCCTTGTGTGATACTATTTGGCCAGTAGTGTGCTGGGATGAAGGGCTACCAAGTTTGTTCAAATGAATGACCTTGACTTTTATTCAAGCTCACAGGGGTCAGACATGTTTAAAACCTTTATACGACTTCTTCTGAATAACCAAAAGGCCTTGGATATTGATATTTGGTCAGTAACATGCTGGGAAAAAGGACTACCAAGTTGAATGACCTTTACTCATATTCAAGGTCACAGGGGTCAAATATGTGTAAAAACTTTGAATAAACTTCTTCTCAATAATCAAAAGTCCTAGGATGATGCTATTTGGCCAGTAGCATGCTAGGATGAAGGGCTCCCAAGTTTGTTCAATTGAATGACCTTGATTTTTATTCAAGGTCACATGGGTCAAATATGTTTAAAACCATTAAACAACTTCTTCTCAATAACCAAAAGGCATAGGGTGATGATATTTGGCTAGTAACATGCTGAGATGAAGGAGTACCCAATTTGTTCAAATGAATGATCTTGACTTATATTCAAGGTCACAGGGGTATAATATGTTTAAAACCTTTATACAACTTCTCCTGACCAACCAAGAGGCCCAGGATAATGCTATTTGGCCAATTTTATGCTGGGATGAAGGGCTACCAAATTTGTTCAAACAAAAGACATTGGCTTATATTCAAGGTCACAAAAGTCAAATATGTTCAAAACCTTTAAACAACATCTTCTGAATAACCAAGAGGCCTGTGTTAGTGATATTTGGCCAGTAACATGCAGGGATGAAGTGCTACCACGTTTGTTCAAATAAATGACCTTAACCTATATTCAAGTCACAGGAGTCAAATATGTGTAAAAATTTAAACAACTTCTTCTGAATAACCAAGAGGCCTAGGATGATGATATTTGGCCAGCCAGTAACATGCTGGGATTAAAGGCTACCAAATTTATTTAAATGAATGACCTTTACTCATATTCAAGGTCACAGGGGTCAATTATGTTTAAAACTTTTAAATAACTTCTTCTCAATAACCAAGAGGCATCAGGTGATGATATTTGGCCAGTAACAAGCTGAGATGAAGGGCTACCCAGTTTGTTCAAATGAATGATCTTGACTTATATCCAAGGTCACAGGGTCAGATCTGTTTAAAACCTCTAAACCGTTTCTTCTGAATAACCATTATGCCTAGGGTGATGATATTTAGCCAGTAACAAGCTGAAATGAAGGGCTACCCAGTATGTTCAAATGAATGATCTTTACTTATATTCAAGGTCACAGAGGTATAATATGTTTAAAACCTTTATACAACTTCTCCTGACCAACCAAGAGGCCCAGGTTAATGCTATTTGGCCAATTTTATGCTGGGATGAAGGGCTACCAAGTTTGTTCAAATGAATGACCTTGACTTATATTCAAGGTCACAGGGGTATAATATGTTTAAAACCTTTATACAACTTCTCCTGACCAACCAAGAGGCCCAGGTTAATGCTATTTGGCCAATTTTATGCTGGGATGAAGGGCTACCGAGTTTGTTCAAATGAGTGACCTTTACTTATATTCAAGGTCACATGTGTCAAATATGTTTGAAACCTTTAAACAAATTCTTCTGAATGTTCCTAGGTTATCGGTTTAAAGTAGCCAGGGGCATAGTCCTTCCAACTCAGGAGAAATTCATTAAGACAAGGAGTCTGGTGCTTCATTTTATCCAGTGTTCTGCAGTACAGGTTGGTTGGTACCTCAATCTGCTGAGGTTTCTCAACTCACTAGCAGCTGTAGTTCCTCTGGGCAGGCTGCACATCAGACCTCTGCAGATGTTTCTTTTCAGCTATTGGGTTCTTGTGTCCCGGGATTGGGAGGCTTTCATTCCTCTCAGTCAGTCGGTCAAGAAATTTGCCCAATGGTGAACAGTTCGTAACAATGTCCTGAAGGGGGTGTCCTTGCACAGGAGCTCGCCCACCATGACCCTGTATACCGAAGACAGGTTGGGGTGCGTACCTGAACGGGCAGGCTCGCTCAGGTTCGTGGACATTAATGTGCTCGAGATGAGGGCAGTGTTGTTGGCCATCCAGGATATCAGGTCTTATCTGCAAGACCAGGTGATTTGCGTAGCAACAGACAACTCAACTGTTGTAGCTTATCTGCAGAAGCAAGGGGGCACCAGGTCTTACGTCCTGTGTGCCCTGGCCATTCGCATTTTGCTACTTTGCCAGAAATTGTGCCTAACCATTCATGTCAAGCACTTTCCAGGCAGACTGAATGTCCTTGCAGACACCCTGTCATGATGTCTTCTGCCGGTTTTGACGGAGTGGCAGCTCGATCCATTCATATTCTGAGCAATATGTCTGGTTTGGGACAGGCCTCATGGTGGGCGAGCTCCCCAGCCTTGAACCATCAGTTGCCGATGTTTATGTCTCCCGTTCCAGATCCAGCAGCATGGGGAGTAGACACTCTGTCTTTGGACTGGAAGGGGTGCATGCTTACACTTTTCCCCCCTTCAACTTGGTGGCCAAAGTCCTCGAGAAGTACAAGGCTGCTTTGCTCCCTAATTCTGGTGGCTCCCTTGTGGCCGAGGCAACCATGGTTCCCTCAGCTTCTGTTGTTTCCGGTGGAAGAGCCTCTGGTTCTCCCACCCAGGTGGAACCTGTTACGACAGCCGAGGTCCAGAATCATGCACTCCCGCCCGGCTATACTCCACCTTCACGAGTGGAGGCTATCTCCGGTGGTCTCGCGCAGGAGGGGTTTCTGGACCGGTGTCAGAATGTATCGCTAGGTCCATCAGGTCTTCTTCTGCGGCAGTCTACCAGTCTAGGTGGACCATCTTCTGCGATTGGTGTGGTCAGAGGCAGATTGATCCACTCAAGGCCTCTGTTTCCCTAATTGCAGATTTTTTACTGCAATTGTTTCGCAGTAAGAATTTAGCTCCTGGTACCATTGCCGGCTATCAGTCAGCTATAGCTGGTATCTTATCTTATGCAGGGCGACCAGAGGTAGGATCTTCTTCCTTTTTGTCTGCCCTCATCAGACGGTTTACCATTGAGAGACCTAGAGTTAGGTGTCTAACTCCTCAATGGGATTTAGCTTTGGTTCTGGAGTCCCTTTTGGATGCTCCTGACGAGCCTTTGTGTCAAGCCTCCTTGAAATTCTTGTCTTTCAAGACTGTGTTTCTTGTCACCCTTGCCTCTGGGAGAAGGCGTAGCAAGGTTCATGCCTTATCAGCGCATTCCTCCTGTTTAAGTTTCGGCAGGAATTACTCCTCCGTGACTATCAGGATGGAGCATTCTTTCCTCGCCAAGAATCAGGTTCCTGGGTTTTCTCCGGATTCTATCTGCATTCCTTCTCTCTGACCTGGCTGGTAAGGACGAGCGTGATCGTCTTCTCTGCCCTGTAAGAGCTCTCAGATAATATCTGGACAAGACAGGGGGGGGGGGATTGAGCATCACATTTTAGGCTTTTTCTGCCCATCAAGAGTGTCCAGTCAAGTATTTCGGCACAATTCATCCCCCGATTGATTTGCCAGGTTATTAGGCCGGCTTATGAGTCTTCCTCTGATGATGTTAGAAGGCTATTCAAGGTTAGGGTCCATGAGGTAAGGGCTCTGGCAGCATCTGGGGCCCTTCTCAATGGCTCTCCCTTTTCAGAGGTTATGTCCTCAGCCTTTTGGCGAGGACACACTACCTTTACAGAGTTCTAACTGAGATCGTTGTTGTCCTTCTCAGACAAACTTTAATCTTTTAATTTGATATGCTCTATATAAGAGCTTTTCCTCGGTACTTGGGTTCCAATTGACTGTGACCCATGTACCGCCCTCCTGGATTAGCCATGGTCCTGCCGGATTGGAGGATCCACTAGGTAAGACGAATTAGCGTAATAATTGGACATGGTAAGTATTGTTTTTGATATAAAATTCAGTTTTTTTATTGTAAAACCCATTGTTATGATAAAACTACTGACCACGTCCAATGTGAGTCCCATCCTCCTCACTGGCTCCTCCGGCTCCTTTAGGCCTTCTGCTTTTAGGTGTTTTGTTCGTGTTACAAATAGAGGAAGTTGGAGGTGTGTGCGCATCCTACACCCATATGTCCAGTTTGGACAGGGAGTAGTTTCGTATTGCGCGGGGCATTTTAAACTTTCGTTTGGGAGTTAAAGAACTGGTAGTTGGAGATCATTTGCATAATTCTCAGAGTGGTTAGCTGATATGCTATAAAAAATGTAGGAGAAAATCTTCGGACAAAAAGCAGATACTGAAATGAACAAAAGGCAATAAATTTTGCAAAAAACTGTCGAATCAAAATTCTTTTTAGGGAGACACAACTTCATATCATGATTATAAAGTATACCAAGTTTCAAAAAGATCCGTTGAAAAATGTAGGAGGAGATTGCCGGACAAAAATCAAATACTGAAATGAACAAAGGGCAATAACTTTTGAAAACATTGTCGAATCAAAATTCTTTTATAGGGAAACACAACTTCATATCATGATTATAATGTATACCAAGTTTCAAAGAGATTGGTCGAAAAATGTAGGAGGAGATCTCCGGACAAAATTCAAATACTGAAATGAACAAAGGGCAATAACTTTTGGAAAAATTGACGAATTAAAATTCTTTTTAGGGAGACACAACTTCATATCATGATTATAATGTATACCAAGTTTCAAATAGATCGGTCGAAAAATGTAGGAGGAAATTGCCGGACAAACAAAGTTTACGCCGGACGGACGGACGGACAACGCCATACCATAATACTACCGTCAAATTTGACGGTCGTATAAAATTGGGTTTTACAACGAAAAACCTCAATTTGAATGACATAGTCATAAATACTGATATTTTGCCTGTAGCTTTTGTTTAGATCACTTTTAAGGTTACAAGTGTGGGATTAATACCAGGTGAGCGATTCAGGCCAATTGGGCCTCTTTTTTGAAAATAGCCTAGTAGTTTAGGAGAAGATGTCAGGAAAACTCAACAAAGGGCCACAACTCCATAAATAGGATAGGAAAAAAATACCTGGATGCACAACTTCAGGTGTTTAAGTTATCATATATGGAAGAATCTTTCGTTGAAATCGTTCCATTACTTTAGAAGGAGTTGTAATAAGAATCAACTTTTCATCACTGTGTTGTAGATTGTAATTGTACTCAAGTTATGAAAGTACATAAATGGCCAATTCTATCTCGGGTAAATTTCCCAGCTCTTATCAAGAGGAACCATGACCTAGCATGGAAACCTGTGATCGCTGGAACGCGGTGCCTCAATCTTAATACTTAGTTTCTTAACTGAAGCCATTACCTCCAGAGTGTGACAAATGAACCTCATCACTTTCCAAGGCCAGCTAAATAAAATCCATACAAAATCACACATACAATATACCAATGGGCAGGGTCTGAGGGAGGGTGGGTCAAAACAAATAATTATCTTCAGAAAATTTATGTACATCAGAATGGTTTGATAACGAGTATACTATTCTAACCCTACCTAACATGTGTCTTATGTATCAAATTCATGTGTCATTTACATGTAAAAACCATACAATAGGATACACCATGAGAATAGAATGACGAAGGGTGATAACTCCTACGAGCTTACAACACCTCAATATGAACCAACACCATTAGAAATTCATATCTGTACTAAACATGCAAACCTTTACCACTTTCATTTAATGTTATTTTTAAATGCATATAATGCTACCTTTCAAATCATTATAAAATTTCAAAATGTGCTATATTTCTATTTTATACAGGAAAAACTCATTCATGTGGAGATGATCACACAAGAAAATTGTAGAAAATTAAATTTACCGTAACTCTGTCTTTGTGCTCTGACCAAAAACTGACAGGCTGGTCCTTCCTGTAGTCATGGGGCTGCAAATACAACAAATTATTTTCATATTAATTGAAAATATATTTCATAGCCAACATCATAATATTGATAGATGACAAAAATGAGCTTATCTCCCAATCCTAGAATAAACTGAAACCGTAAGACATGGGCATACTTACACCCCCTCCCCATTTAACCAGTGATGTTGATGTCTCAGCAAATCAGAGGCTTTAACAGCCACCTTGTATCCTGAATAATCAGAGGACATGGTGACCATCTTGAATCTAAATAATTGTGAGTTTGCCATTTGATGTGAAGTAAATTCCATACATATCTCTACCTCAAATATGTAGATATGGTATTTACTGAAGGTGTGGATGTGTTATTTATTGAAGGTGAGGATGTGGTATTTTCTAAAGGTGAGGATGTGGTATTTACTGAAGGTGTGGATGTAGTTATTGCTGAAGGTGTAGATGTGGTATTTACTGAAGGTGAGGATGTGGTATTTTCTAAAGGTGATCTGTGATAGACAAATATAGTCCAGCATTAAACTCAAGATAACTCTAACAAGCCTACCCTATTTTTGCACCAAAACTGATAACTGAAGTTTGGTGTAATTCATGTATTACAATATTTGTTTACAGTGATGTTGTTGTTTTATGAGACAATGTTAATTGTAATATAATTGAAATTAAGTATCCTCGTAAGGCTGATAGAATACACCAATCAGTGAAATTTACGTGTATCATATCCTTTTGAACTTTGTATCATCAGAGCATTGATTGGATATGCGCTCCACTTTGGGGAAAACTGTAATTACACTACAGCTACAATTAAGCACAAATTACTTTTTTAGTCTTCTTTGTTTGTTATGGGGAATTGATTTAAGTTTCATACTGTTACCATTAACATAATCATACAAAGAAGTGTATACTGACATATGACCCATGGCAAATCCTCGTTGACCTAAAGACATTTGTGACATGTGCACTGCTGCTGGTCTGAAGGAAATATATGTTTCACCCTCTACCAATAGGCACTATAAGGAGATATTGTAAGTCATATAATTATGCATTCGAAAGACCACTTTTGATTTATGGCAGAAGCAGAGCCAAAAGCATCTTTAAGTAGTACCTGTGGTTGGTTCAAGATCCTTGAAGGAAATATAAATTTTAAACTATTGCCTACACAGACATTGAATAAGAATAAAAATCAGTTCACATCAGTTTCAACAAATTTAAACGGTCGGTTTACCCTGCATCCCAACTCAGGCTGGAGTGTGTTCTTTTTTCCTAAAATGTTATATAACGATGGAAATATTGCAACCTCAAGAAAGATTTTTTACTGAAGGTTAGGATGTGGTATTTACTGGAGGTTTGGAGATGGCACAAAACTAGAGCATAAATCTTACCCGTGTGGGTTCCGGTTTTACATGTTCAAATTCTTCTTTGTTAAAATCTTTCATTGTCACTGATCGGAAATCTGTAGCTTCAGGCTCAGGAGGGTTGATATCATCCCGGAACACTTCTTGACTAAGAATAGGGAGTAAACTGTTTGATACATCACACGGAAAAATTTAGTATTTATGTAAACAAAACTCAAAGAGAAATTTTCACTCTGACAGAAATGGTCAAAAATAGTTTTTCTATCATTGCAACTTTGTCATATATTTCAATACAAGATACCCAATGGGCCTGAATAGCTCACTTGATTTAACATGACTACTGTTGGTCAAATGTCAAAAATAACAGAAATACCCATGAAAATAGCAAACTCTTACTGCCTGTTTCAACAATGTGAAAAGTAGAATAAAATATTTCTATTTCCCATTCATCATTATGTTCTGTTTTCAATTATTGGGAATGGCACTTCATCTTTAAATTTTGACCACTCAGAGGGGATACAGTGGCCATTTTATACATGGAAATATAAAAGTAGTCCTATAGGCCTCTTGGTTATCAAGAAATTGTTTGAAAAATGTCAACACATTTCACCCTTATGACCTTAAAAGTTGGTCAAGGTGATTTATTTGAGCCCTTCATCCCAGCATGTTACTGACTCTTTGCCTCTTGGTTATTAAGAAGAAGCCATTTAAATGTTTTGTCATGTTTGACTCCTGTAATCTCGAAAGTACATAAATGTCATTTTTATTTGCAAAATTTGTAGGGCTCCAATTCAGCAAACTTTATATGGCTATTTCCTATGAAGAAACCAGTCAATTATCATTTCTGTATGTCTTTAGGTTCTTCAGAAGAGGTCGTTTGAATTTTTGACATATCTAACTCCTGTATCCTTGAAAGTAGGTCAAGGTCATCATTATTCAGTCATTGTCAGGTAGACCCCATCTAAGGAAACCTTAACCAAATATCATGACACTAGGCCTATTCGTTCTTTACAAAAAGTTGCTTAAAGTTTTAGATGCATTTGATCCTCGCTTATTTGTATACTTTGTCAATCACCTTCCTATGAAACTACCAGTCAATTATCATAACTCTAGGCTAAGTGACTTTTTAGGAGAAGTTGTTTGAATTCTTTGACATGTTTGATACATGTGACCTTGGAAGTAGGACACAATCAATTTTATATGATAACTTTGTCGATCTCCATATACAGAAAGTACATGTTCTAGCCAAATTTAAAAAAAAATTGTTTGAAGATTTTGACATATTTGATTGTTGTGAACTTGAAAGTGGGTCAAAGTCATTTTTATTTGCAAAATTTGTCAGGCTCCATTTTAGGAAGGTAGTACATGTAGCAAGATGTCCTGACTTTTGGCCTTTGGTTTGTTTAGATGAAGTAATTTGAATTTTTCGACATATATGACCCCCTGATCTCTATTGACTTTGAATATGAATCAAGGTCATTTCTTTTTTCAAACTTTGTTAGGAACCATACCAGAAAGCTACTATCCACATATAATGACTCTTGGCTAATTCGTTAATCAGATAAAAAAAAATAAAGTTTTTGACATATTTGACTCCCATGGCCTTGGAGGTAGATCAAGGTCACTTATTTCTTAAATGTTGTTGGGACCCATTCCAGGAAGCTATTTTCATAATATCCCGACTCAAGGCAAATTAGTTTCAACTTTTTTTTTTAAAGATTTTGACATATTTGACCCCCTGCATACAAGTTAGTTGTATAATGACAATCAAAATGTCATTCTCTATAGTCTGGTTTATTTTTTTATCCCATTGCTTTTTTATCTTTTGGGATGAGCTACGTGAACTATCAATTTTATCACTCTCTTCAAGAGCACATTTCCCCACCATTTTCTTGCTAAAGACAAGAGGCCCAGAGTATTGCTCACCTGGATATGTAAGCAATCATGGCAAAATATTCTCCAAATGAGATCCATTAAGGAAATATGCCAGACCCCAAGGCCAATCCTTGTAGTATATCTGTATTAGATTTTTCATGCCCAGCAATTTAATGTATGGTTATGGGGTGGGGATCTCAACTGTTTCCATGCTGTGACTCAGAAACTAGGTCCCTAGGGTTGTAGCCAGACCCCAGGATCAATTCTAATATCATGACTGCATTTGTCTCTTTTTGCCCATCATTTGTATTTATAATTTTGGGTTGGGGATCTCAACCGTTTCAAAGTTATGACCCAGGGACTATGTCTGCAAGGGTGGTGCCAGACCCTAGGGCCATCCTAGAAGCAAATGTGCATTCTCCTCTTTATACTCAGCAATTGCATATTGTAGCCTGGGTGGTCAGCCCCAACATTTATACAATGCTTCCGAAAGGGGTGGGGTGGGGGNACTGGTTGATATCCATCACTTAGTTCCAGAGAAGTCGCATAAAGCAAAATAGCCAAATTGCCCCCTTTTTGCCCCATCCCTCAGCCCCCTGGAGGGTCAGCCCCACCATTTGTACAATTTTGAATCACCACCACCTAGGGATGCTTCCAGCCAAAACTGGTTGATATCCATCACTTAGTTCCAGAGAAGGTGTCGCTTAAAGCGAAATAGCCAAATTACCCCCTTTTGCCCCATCCCTCAGCCCCCTGGAGGGTCAGCCTCACCATTTGTACAATTTTGAATTCCCACCGCCTAGATATGCTTTCAGTCAAATATGGTTGATATACATCTCTTTGTTCCAGAGAAGAAGTCACTTAAAGCAATATAGCCAAATAACACTTTTAGCCCCGCCCCTCAGCCCCCTGGGGGTCAGCCCCACTATTTGTAAAATTTTGAATCCCTGACTCCCATGAATGCTTTTGATCAAATATGATCGATATCCAGTGTATAGTTCTACAGAAGAAGATGTTTGTAGCAATATAGCCAAATTGACCCCTTTTGGCCCCGCCTCTCAGCCCCCTAGGAGGTCAGCCCATCCATTTGTACAATTTTGAATCTCAACTACCTAGGGATGCTTCCAGTCAAATATGGTTGATATCCATCTCTTAGTTCCAGAGAAGAAGTTGCTTAAAGCAATATAGCCAAATTGCCCCCTTTTGGCCCCGCCCCTCAGCCCCCTGGGGGGTCAGCCACACCATTTGTACTATTTTGAATCCCCATCACCTAGGGATGCTTACAGTCAAATATAGTTAAATTCCAATCAGTGGTTAAGAAGAAGTAGTTGTTTAAAGAAATTGTTGACGTACGGATGGACGACGTATGGAAGACGGACGCCACCGTATGGCATAAGCTCACCTTGGTTCTTCGGAAGTGTGATCACAGTCACATATACGCAGGAAGTGTGATCACAGTCACATATATGCTTCAGTTTTTAGGCTTTTTATTCAAAACACTGAGAAGACTGTGATCAGGAAATTATAATGAAAGGATGCGGAAACAGGCAGAAATTTCTGGAATCGGTAGAATTAAATAAGATAAATCATACAGTGAATAGGCAAAATTGTAAGGCATATTTTTTATGTTAAAATCATGAGAATTAGGCCAAAAGAAGAAGGGTTGGCACCTCTGCATGGTACTCAGCCACTACAAAAAAAGTTTTAAAGAATTTAATTGAAAAATGAGCAAATGCACAGTTGGACAAAGTTTTGTCAAGTTGTTTATGTAAAGGGGCATAATTCTCTTGAAAAAGGTCCAAAATGCAATATTTATTTCAGGGGGCACAATTGCATATGGTACTGCCACTACACAAAAAGTTTCAAAGAAATCTATTGAAAAATGAGCAAATGCATAACTGGACAAAGTTTTGTTAAATTAATACAAAATTATGTCAAGGGGTACAACTACATATGGTACTCTCACTATACAAAAGATTTTTTTAAAATCTATTGAAAAATGAGCGAATGCAAAGCCGGACAAACATTTGTATCATGTCTGATCCAAATCTGACCTACTAGAACTGGCAATGATGTTGAAAATGTGTCAGACTATCAGAAGCCATGGCAGCCAAAAAAGAATTCTGTAATAAGCGAAAAAAGCTGTACACTTGTTGATGGCCATGAAACAAATATCTGTACCAAATCTGATGGGGTAGTACTGGAGAAAAAGTCCTATAAACAAGAGGCCCATGGGCCTTAACGGTCACCTGATATATTTATACAGAGAGTTGATTTTGTTTTTAACATGAACAGAAATATTATTCAAAGTGACAAAAAACAATAAAACCACCTTATTCAATATCTAGCATACAGATTTCAGACTAAAAAGGATTTGAAACTAGCACCTCTGATTCTTAACAAGGAAAATGAAGAAATTTTAGCACACTGACT